AGGGCATTCCGCTGCAAGCGAACCGGAACCCAACGAAGAAAAGCATGACTGCTCGATCTGCTTCCCTCTGCGTGCACATTGGCTGACCGACATACCAACGTCGTTGTTGGCAAATCAGCGTTTAGGAGCGAACAGATGGGCAGTGATGCTTTTCCTCTTTAGGGTTCGGTTCGCTTGCAGCGGAATACCCTACAGGGAAGTAGTACGGGACTAGGGCCTCGCACAATAAAGAATTCCGGTACAGTTGCAGTGCGAGTGCGGGCAAGAAGAAAACGGAAATCGCTATGCTTTAACATGGTGACTTCCGTTTTCTTGTTCCTCGCATTCTTCTGCATTTCGGCTTTACCGGAATGCTTTAAATTTGACATGCTCACTGAATCCGTCGGGGACATTTTACTCCAAAATTAGGGAAACAAAACCAGGGGTATGCAACGCATTCTCTGCGTAACAACAAAGACATGGATATAATCAATGCTCCAATAGGGTTTTTCAATGGAGCGCTGCCCGGAAGTAAGAAGAACAAAACCGGATACAGAACAGAGAGCGGTGGTAGGGGCGGGCGAGCGGAGGAGCGGAGTGCGGGCGGGGAGGCTCCCCTCCACCCGCCGCTCCTCCGCGCGCCCGCCCCCACCACCGCTCTCTGTATCCGGTTTTGTTCTTCTTACTTCCGGGCAGCGCTCCATTGAAATACCCTAATAGGGAATGCTTAATTGTACCATCCTGTTAAAAATCAGAGGTGTTGAGGTTAAGAGTTTTAGTGTTACCTGCCCCGTTGACACCTTCATACTTCTTTCCAATGTACTGCTACATAAGTAATAAGTAAGTGTGAGGCAACTGGTGCCTGTTGATGCCAACATATTGTAGGTAACGCTGCAAACATTATTTAAATTGCGTCGAATGCCGCATTGCATTCACTATTTGTGGATATTGTAGGCACCTAGCCAAGTAAGTCATACTAAATTCAATGACATGCAAATTTCTTTTTGAAAATACTTAGCCAAAAAGTTTTGTTTTTAAAATATATTATCTGGTACTATAAGTATTTTTATTAGGATTAACTCGAACTTGTTTGGACTGTACTGTTTTTATTATGAATAACATATTTCAAACTAAATGTTATTTGTGCATTACAAACCTCTGACCATTTGTATAGTACTAATTTGATTTATACTAACAATTGTTATCGTACAGACCGACCTGGATCATAGGAACCGGATCAAAGCTGAAAATGATTCGTATTACCAAACAAATCTTAAAAGTAGTATATCAACCCAAGTTCTTCGCAGGACTTTAATAGTGTACTCTCCGTCAGCAAACAATTTTGTTGGAGTACGTTAACAAACCCGACCATTATCAAGAAGGCTATAGAGAGAGTAATAAATTTATCCGTAGCTATGATTATAAAAATGTCCCTTGCTATAATTAAATAAAACTATAGTTGAAGATAAATTTGTCCATAGCCATAAACGGATTTGTCCATGGATACAAATTAATGTATTCCTCATTAAACAATTTTCTCCTTAAATGTTAATAAAATTGTCAATAGCTAGCAATGGTTTCTCAATTGAATCATTTTTATGGGTTCATTAAAAGGTCCGTTGCAAAAGGAGGTAATTGTTGTATTTAAATGGATAAAAATGTTGGTATTATAGTTGCATAAGATTCAAAGTAGTGAGAAGATAAATTTATCCACAGTAAAGGATAAATTCATCCTTTGAGGATTGAGGGTGTACACTGTGGATTTTTAATCAAACCACCCAACTCTCCCCAAAGTGTTTTTGGACCGAACATTTATGAATTGTAGTGTGTTTGTGAGGTAAGGCCCCATATAATTTTAGTTCATGGTCTCTACTTTTCAATTCAACAAATATTTTAAAAACTATTCCCTTGGGACCACAAATATTTTAGCACCATGGAGTTTATGCAAATTAATTGCATACATAGATTTTCTACGCTTCTTTTGCACAATTTGCTACTAAAATGTGCATAGTTTTCTTACAAATCTTTGAATGGCTGTTGTGCGCAAAATGTGTACGGATTTTATGCAAATTATTTGCATACAAATCTGCGCTTTAATTTGTAACCCAGTTTTGTGTGCTAATGTGCACAAAATTGTACAAATTTGCGCAGAAACCTAGTTGTGCGAATGAAGTGCACAAAAAAAAGTTACAAATCCAGTTAGTGTGTAGTCAGTGAAATTGTCGCGAAATACCCAATACTCCGAAATGCCCTGAAATAATCCGAAATAGGCAAGAAATAGCCGAAATGGCAGGAGAAATACCACGAAATAGCCCGTACGCAACGAACCCAAGTGATTTGCCCTCGCTTCTCTACCCCTTTTCATAAAAACCACAGGATTTCGGTACTTGAACCCGATCCCACACGTCCGTCTGCCCGGCCCCGGCGGCAAGCTATATTGGCGGTGCGAGGAAAGGGAGAGTTGACTGGATGGCGTTCCGCTCCTACTCGCTCAGGCAGGCCCCGGCCTGGCCCCGGCCGGCTCGGCTCCGCCCCGCACACCCTGCCGGCAGCGCCCGGCTGCGCTCGGCTCGGCCCGCGGCGGCAGCGGCGGCGGCAGCAGGTCTCGCTGCCCACATGACACACCGCCCGGCCGGCCGGGCGGGTTGCATCCCCCTCTCTCTCTCTCCCTCTCTCTCATCTTTCTCCCGCTCGCTCTCTTGTCTTCCCCGGATCCAGTCTCGAATGAATGGATGGGTTCCCCAGCAGCGCAGCGCTCTGTCCGGCAACACAACAGCTCGTCCTGGGCACGCCGGCGGCGCCCGGCCCTCTCCAAACTCCTGCTGCAGAGATTCGTGGGACCCGACATGTTCGAATCTCCATGACTTGAAACTTTCAACCCTCTCTTAATAATGATTAAAACAGGGGAGGATAATAGATACTAGCAAACCTAGCAGCGCCTTGCGTGCAGCATCGTGCTTCCAGAATTCAAAGGTGAACACGCTCGCCAGCTACCTCCATACACGGAAAAAAAAAGTTAGTTGTTTTGACTAATGCCTTAGCTGCATAGCGGTTAACGAACCTGTTAGCTGTGTGGGCTAATCTGTGTTAGTGGCTACAGCCCACGACAAACGGCGGTCGTCTTTTATTGTAGCAGCTCACCAGATCCGTCGTACTGACTAAGGCGATAAGTTAGCTCTGCCAAAACTTTCGTGTTCCCGTATCTGACGGATTTGAGATGAACTAAGAAAGACAATTCTTTCTGCCGTCTGACATCATATGGTTGCATCACCAAAGTTTATTAGTTCATGCTCTCAGTTGTTTTAGTAGCAGCTATTAAATATCTCAATTTCCTCAGCTAATAGTGAATGTCAGTAGAATTAAAGTCTTTAAAATAGTGTGTGGATTTTTTAGGAATAAAAAGTTTAGCAAAGTGATTCATTAGAAAATCTTATTTATTCCCATGATTGCAAACATAACAGGGTGCATATGCACAAATGTATTCTAAATACAATAAATAACAATATCAAAACAATACAGTAATCTTAAGATAAGGTAACATTTAAACATCATGTAACAAACTATGTGTTTTGGTGAGGACATCTTTCAAACATGATGAAACACAAAATTTACCTTTACATTAACTATTAAACATAACGTCTAAATTATTACGATTACATATCTGATAAGGCATTTATGTAGTTTGTAGACAAAATAATTCAAAGAGCATGTCTTAAAACTACATACTTTTTACAGTCAACAGAAAAGTGAATGCTCAATGGCAAAGGTTCCAAAATTTTAGAGGGGGAAACATGTCCATAATTATCAGTGCTCTCCACCTCATAAGCATGGAGGTGTTCATCAAAACCCTGGCATAAAAGGTAGGAAAAAATAAAAACAAACTCAGTTTCATTTGTGAGAAGGATGGACTCAATTATGCCAAATCTAGGACATCCGCCTTGATTTACATCCAAGATAAGGACCATTCCAGGTTTGTACTTAAACCTTTTATACTCTACCCAGTTACACTCCAAACAAGATTGAGAGAAATAACAATTTGGGAGAGGATCAACAAAATGTTTGTTTTGAAAGTCTTTCAAGAACACTTCAGAACAAGGCCCATATATTGTTTCAGGTAAAAGAAATTTTCTGGATTTTAACTTGTGGCACCAAGTAAGTTGGTGAGAAACAGCAACTGTCTTCTCAATATATCTTCGGGATTGAGTAGCATGTGCTGGAATGGTGAGTGACCGGTGTTTTCTTTCAAAGTGTTTTGTTGAGGTTAAAGAAACTGGTCCACTTTCATCTAAAATCCTAGGATAATGAACCAAATTGTGAAATTTTGATTTTAAAGTGTCATTAGTTACCTCTGTATACATAGTATTGAATTCTTCTACAAGAACCTTAAATGAGGCTGACTGGTGACAAGACAAACTTGGAGACAAAACAATATCCAACAATTCGCGCAGTTTTAAGTACAATTTCCAAAATTCATCTTCATGTGGAACCTTGTCCCCAATTAAAATGCCAAACATTTTAACAAATAGAAGAGTTTCAGAGCCTGACATTTTTAGTTTTTTGCGTTTACAAGTTTCATCAGACAACAGGGGAAACTTATTTGAGTCACAAGGTCCAAATTTAAAAAACTCCATTCTATGGTTCAATAGGCCCAGAGAAAAATACCTTGGATCACCACCTGGATAGGGAGCTTTAGTACAGTGTTTCAATACATGAATCAATACGTAGTGGCAAATTCCTTCATTAAAATCATGGAAAATATCCACCGAATAATTCTCCGTAATGTGGAAAGAAGGTAAACTGTTCAAAGCACAATTTTTCTTAACTCCTGTTAGTTCAACATTGTTAACAGCTAAATCTTCTTCATAATTTTCTTTGGTTCTCAAGGACTCTGCATTTTCAACAGACTGTGTATTAGCAACAGTTTTGTGAGTTTTGCAAAAGCGACAATAATAACCCGCTGAAAAAGATTCAGCAAAACCGCCAACTGAGTTCAAACCCATGTTATCTCCCAACAAAAGGCTACTAACAAAGAACACCTTTTTTGGACCATCAGGAGTCTCAACAATAATTCCATTTTCTTCAAGAGCTTTCAGTTGAGAAATCAGAGGCCCAAAAGCTTTATCGTCAGAGAAGCAACGATAATCGGGGTTAAACACAAGAGCCAAAAATATATCATCAGTGCTAGCACAACATTCTGGAGGCAAACATGGAATTTGCACATATGCACCC